CTGCAGACAGGGGAATGAGTTCATGAATAGAAGGGTTAGAGTGAGTGGGTTTGGGGATACCAGCGGTGCGTGCAGACACCAGCGGTGCATCCCTCACACTGGATACCCTTCTATTAATGAACTCATTCCCCTGTCTGCAGCACTTCCCATATGGGGGGTTGCTTTATGGTGTATCTGGGCCGCGTACTCCACCGCCGATTTGCTAGAGGCAGCAGCACCGGCTACAACATCTCCAGATGTGGCGGCTTGCGCTGCAGAACCTCCTGAGGTAGCGGTGTACACTGCTGTGCTCCCAGAGGCCATGGTGTCCACTGTAGTCTCTTCAGAGGTGGCGGCGCAGGCTGCAGAACCTCCCAAGCTGTTCCGGCCAAGGAGGCCGTCGATGAACTCTCTGCTCGTCCGGTTCCGGCCAGGGAGGCCGCCTATGAACGCCCTGTCTGTCTTGTTCCAACCAAAGAGGCCGTCTATGAACTCTCTGCCTGTTCTGTTCCGGCCAAGGAGGTCGTCTGGGAACTCTTTGTCTGTCCTGTCACAGCTATAGAGGCCGTTTACGAACTCCCTGCTTGTCCTGTCACGGCTATGGAGGCCGCCTGTGAACTCTCATCCCGTCCTGTCACGGCTATGGAGGCCGTCGGTGAACTCTCTGCTCATCCTGTCACAGCTATAAGGGCCGTCTGCGAACTCCTTGCTCATTCTGTCACGGCTATGGAGGCCGTTTGTGAACTTTTGTCTTGTCCCGACCCAGCCAGGGAGACTGCCTCTGAACGCTCAGTCTTGTCTATCAACCCCAATGTTCTGTCTGTGTTGTCTGTCTCTGCTCTCTCGTTGTTACAGTCTCCGCCATGGTCTCCTGGTCGGGGTGGTTCACCGGGGGGGTTTCCGGTTCCCTCCGCCGTGGTGGTTCTCTGCTCCGCCGTGGTGGTCCTCTGATCCGCCGTGTTGGTCCTCTGATCCGCTGTGGTGGTCTACTGTCTGGCTCTGGTGGTTCTCTGCTCTGCCGTGGTGGTCCTCTGCTCCGCCGTGGTGGTCTACTGTCTGGCTCTGGTGGTTCTCTGCTCCGCCGTGGTGGTTCTCTGCTCTATCGTGGTGGTCTTCTGCTCTGCCTGCTCCGCCGTGGTTGTCTACTGTCTGGCCATGGTGGTCCTCTGCTCCGCCGTGGTGGTCTACTCTCTGGCTCTGGTGGTCTTCTGCTCCGCCATGGGGATCTTCAGTCCCGTCTGCTCTGCTGTGGTGGTCCTCAGCTCCACCTGTACTGCCGGCTCCACCCTGGCTCCCTGCTCCGCCGGCTCTGCCTCAGTCCCTGGTCTCTACTTCCCTTCTACTTCCCTTCAGAGGAGGGTGAGGGTCGAGTACTGGAAGAGTCTGATCCAGTTGGAGACGAAGGTTTCCCTGAAGATCCGTTTGTCCATTCTACTCCTGCTCCAGCCTCTCTGAGGAACAGCAGCGGCGCATAGAGCTCAACAAACGGCTGGCTCTGGAGAGGAGACTTGCGAAGCAGAAACAGTTAGGTGTATGTGGGGTCATTTAATGTCATAACCTTGTGTGGCGTGTTATGATTCAAATGAAAGTTCTCATTTGCCTCTAGTCCTGGAAAAAATCTGGGTCCACTGTTATGCATATAAATTCAGCTGCTTCAGTCTCATTTTTGTATCACTATCCC